TATGCACCAAACGGCAGTTCAGATTATCCACCCTTTCTGGAGTCCTTGGAGGGGGTACTGGAAAGTGCACCTTCTGGGGACTCCCTTGTTCTGCTGGGGGACTTCAATGCTCATGTGGGCAATGACAGTGAGACCTGGAGGGGTGTGGTTGGGAGGAACGGCCCCCCTGATCTGAACCAGAGTGGTGTTCTGTTGTTGGACTTCTGTGCTCGTCATGGATTGTCAATAACGAACACCTTGTTCAAGCATAAGGGTGTCCATATGTGCTCTTGGCACCAGGACACCCTAGGCCGCAGTTCGATGATCGACTTTGTCATCGTCTCATCTGATCTGCGGCCACATGTCTTGGACACTCGGGTGAAGAGAGGGGCGGAGCTGTCAACTGATCACTACCTGGTGGTGAGTTGGCTCCGATGGTGGGGGAGGATGCCGGTCAGACCTGGCAGGCCCAAACGTATTGTGAGGGTTTGCTGGGAACGTCTGGCAGAGTCTCCTGTGAGACGGAGTTTCAACTCCCACCTCCGGGAGAACTTTGAACATGTTCCAAGGGAGGTGGGGGACATTGAGTCTGAGTGGACCATGTTTCGTGCCTCTATTGTCGAGGCGGCTTACCAGAGCTGCGGCCGCAAGGTTGTCGGTGCCTGTCGTGGCGGCAACCCTCGAACCCGATGGTGGACACCGTCGGTGAGGGATGCTGTCAGGCTGAAGAAGGAGTCCTATCGGGCCTTTTTGGCCTGTGGGACCCCGGAAGCAGCTGATGGGTACCGGCAGTCCAAGCGACATGCGGCTCGGGTGGTTGCTGAGGCAAAAACTCGGGCATGGGAGGAGTTCGGAGAGGCCATGGAGAACGACTTCCGCACGGCTTTGAGACGATTCTGGTCCACCATCCGGCGTCTCAGGGGGGGAAAGCGGTATGCCACCAACACTGTTTATAGTGGGAGTGTTGTGCTGCTGACCTCAACTCGGGATGTTGTGGGTCGGTGGGCGGAATACTTTGAAGACCTCCTCAATCCCACCGGCACGTCTTCCACTGAGGAAGTGGAGCCTGGGGACTCTGGGTCGGGCCCTCCAATCTCTGGTGCTGAGGTCACCGAGGTGGTTAAAAAGCTCCTCGGTGGCAGGGCCCCTGGGGTGGATGAGATCCGCCCAGAGTTCCTTAAGGCTCTGGATGTTGTAGGGTTGTGTTGGCTTATGCGACTCTGCAATATTGCGTGGACATCGGGGGAAGTTCCCCTGGATTGGCAGACCGGGGTGGTGGTCCCCCTATTCAAAAAGGGGGACCGTAGAGTGTGTTCCAACTACAGGGGAATCACGCTCTTAAGCCTCCCTGGTAAGGTCTATTCGGGGGTTCTGGAGAGGAGGGTCCGTCGGATAGTCGAACCTCAGATTCAGGAGGAACAGTACGGTTTTCGTCCTGGCCGTGGAACACTGGACCAGCTCTACACTCTCAGCAGGGTCCTGGAGGGTGCGTGGGAGTTTGCCCAACCAGTCTACATGTGCTTTGTGGACTTGGAGAAGGCATTCGACCGCGTCCCTCGGGGGGCCCTGTGGGGGGTACTCTGGGAGTATGGGGTACCAGGCCCTTTGATACAGGCTGTTAGGTCCCTGTATGACCGGTGTCAGAGCCTGGTCCGCATCGCCGGCAGTAAGTCGGGCTTGTTCCCGGTGAGAGTTGGACTCCGCCAAGGTTGCCCTTTGTCACCGATTCTGTTCATAACTTTTATGGACAGAATTTCTAGGCGCAGCCAAGGTGTTGAGAGGATCCGTTTTGGTGGCCTCAGGATTGCATCTCTGCTTTTTGCAGATGATGTGGTCTTATTGGCTTCATCAGATCGTGATCTACAGCTTTCGCTGGAGCGGTTCGCAGCCGAATGCGATGCGGCCGGGATGAAGATCAGTTCCTCCAAATCCGAGGCCATAGTCTTGAGCCGGAAAAGGGTAGAGTGCCCTCTCCGGGTCAGGGAGGAGGTCCTACCCCAAGTGGAGGAGTTCAAGTATCTTGGGGTCTTGTTCACGAATGAGGGAAAAATGGAGCGTGAGATCGATAGGCGGATAGGTGCAGCGTCTGCAGTGAAGCGGGCGCTGTACAGGTCTGTCGTGGTGAAGAGAGAGCTGAGTCAAAAGGCGAAGCTCTCAATTTACCGATCGATCTACGTTCCCACCCTCATCTATGGTCACGAGCTTTGGGTTGTGACCGAAAGAAAGATCTCGGATACAAGCGGCCGAAATGAGTTTTCTCCGCAGGGTGTCTGGGCTCTCCCTTAGAGACAGGGTGAGAAGCTCGATCATCCGGGAGGGACTCGGAGTAGAGCCGCTGCTTCTCCACATCGAGAGGAGCCAGTTGAGGTGGCTTGGGCATCTGTTTAGGATGCCTTCTGGACGCCTCCCTGGTGAGGTGTTCCGGACACGTCCCACCAGAAGGAGGCCCAGGGGAAGACCCAGGACACGCTGGAGGGACTACGTTTCTCGGCTGGCCTGGGAACGCCTCGGGATTCCCCGGGAAGAGCTGGCCCAAGTGGCTGGGGAGAGGGAAGTCTGGGCCTCCCTACTTAGGCTGCTACCCCTGCGACCCGACCCCGGATAAGCTGAAGAAAATGGATGGATGGATGGATGGATTTTTTACATTTAAAGTTAAAGTGACATTTTATTAATTTTATTTATTTATTTTTTCCTTACAGTTGGAACCATCTATGGTCAAACTCTAAAACAATTAAGGATAAATAACATTTAAATGTTATGTTTAGGATATGAATTAATTACCATTATACTTCTGTTCTGTTGTTTTCTAACCTTTGCAAACATTGGAAACAAGACCAGATAAGAAAAAGAAAAAGAAAAACACTACAGAATAAAAACAAAAACTATAATTTGTTGAGTTAATTTTGAACAAATAACATTACAATCATCTAGTAGTTCATGATCTTAGTCTGAAATCACAATACACAGCAGCTAATCCCAGGCACATACTGTATTTACTGATTAGACTTGACAGCAGCACACTCGCATAATTTACAGCAAATTAGAAATAAGAATAGTTCAAATTGCCAAACTATAGTATTTTTCAAGAACCGTTTCTTTCAAGATGCAGACGAACAGTAAATTTGTCAAAGCTGACCATTTTAGACAAGTATGTCTCTCCATCCAATGTTGAATCTTCAGGTCCTGCTGAGCCTAAACCCAATTGCCCTTTAAAAAGGTTTGCACCATCATTCACGTCTAACTTTGACATTTTTTAATCTAATTTCAAAACCCTTTTCTCCTCACGTGTTAACATAATGTCACCATCAAAGTTATCCTTTACATTCTGCATCAAAAATCCATTCCTGTTAAACTCATGTATATTTTCTTTCAGCAATTACCTAGATGATTATACGCTTTTCAAAATAATTAATTGTAACACATGAATCCGACATGTTGCTGGTCTTGTTGAGAGTCAGGATTCATTTTTATGCGTTCGGTTTTGTCTTTGACATTTTCACTAAGCAAACAAGAAATCAATGCCCAACCTTTAGCCTCCTCCTCCACACTAATTACAGCTTACTGCCCACAGAGTTTACTGTTAAAGTGATGACAAAGGAGGGAGACGCAAAAATCATTACTCTCCAAGTTCATTTCACTATCTCACCTTAACTGAGCTACAGCTGAAGGTCGGTGCAATTATTGTGCATTAATTTGAGCGATGCAAAGTCAAATGATTGTGCTACAGAGGCCTCTTGAAAAACAATGTATAAGACTACTTTAATCAGCAGGGATGCAAACTTTGATGCTTGATAGACGAACAGTGAAGAAGTGCAAGTTGTAGAATATTAATCAGTGCTGACTGAACAGGAAAACAACAACTAAAACTTTTGCCGTTACCCTTGTATCTCTACTAGACTGAATACTGGCACACACAAAGGTCACTGACATTTAAAGACAATCCCCCGACTGGAGCGCTAACGCTGGTAAAATGTGAGGCAGAAGACCAACAAACTGCACCCCGAGAGAAAAGTGGGACTGGCCCTGTCGAGGAAGCAACAATAAATATTGTCTTGTGTTTTTAGCTCTCTGTTGCCGGTGTTGATGCACATCAGCTGA